TTTGATCATCCTGGCTACAGACCGCTAACAAGAGCCAATTTTGAATATGTGGGCCTCTTGCATCAGGATAATAGGGCAAGTTGTAGCTGTGTGTTTGGAGTAGTAGAAGGAGCAATGTATGAACCTGATGGATTGTGTGCAACTTCTGAGTTTGGTTGAACTTTTTCCTGAAGTTTCTGATGAGCTACCTGTCTAATCGTATGCATTTTTTTTTTTTTTATTAATGGTTTCAAGGTAAGACCTTTGTCGTTGTTAGAGCGCAAGTTTTTTTTTCTCACTTTTCTCTCTCCATTGAGCACTCCGCTAGCAAATAGCCAATTACATAATCCGACCTCTTTTTAACAAGGGTTTTGGTGGGGTTTTTTTCCCTCTCAGGAGCAAAAAGGTAAGGAACCTGAAGTAAATAGATAGTAGATGCACTAATGAGGCAAAAAAAAAAGACCAATTGCTTAATATACTGTTAGTCCTCAGCATGCCACAAAAACATCTCAGCTAAACTGACTTCCATATGAAAGTCTTGACCCATGGTATCCCAGCAAAATATTTTCCAGAGCACTGTGCTCCCTCCACCAGCTAGTCCTCTACCTATGGCGCATCCTGCTGCCATCTATAGGATTCACTAGACTAGGGAGCATTATCCTGTCGCTCCTAGGTGCAGCTCTGATGCTCGTGTGCCTATTGTAGGCACTTTAAAAAGTGGACAGTGGTTAGAATTGGCACTCTGGCGGTTCTGTGGTTACAAAGCCCCATATGCAGGAGAATATGATGCATTATGATGTCTTGTGACAATCCATTCTGTTATCATCATGAAAATTAGCTGTTACTTGTGCAACTGTAGGCCTTCTGTCAGTTTGGACCAGATGGGATGGCCATCCTTGCTGTCCTGCATCAGTGAGTATTGGGTGGCTAATACCCTGTTGCCTGTTCATGATTTTTCCCTTCCTGGGCCTCTGTCAGTAAGAACTCACCACTGCTAACCAGGAGCACCCTTTGTGAGCCCTGCTGCTTCAAGGATTCTCTGACCCAGGCTGCTGGATTGGTTCACTCAGTAAATGTGCTGCTTGTGGTGCAAGAGTGACCACCATCGGACTGAATCCAGCCATCCCAGTGCTGACTGTGCTCCAGTAGTCTTGTGAGGACAGTGCGTAATTGGCTTCGAGCTGCTCAAGGATATGGGGGGGGGGGATAAATTTACATTCTAAGCAAGCACATGTTCCAGTTCCCGCTGCCCTCGTTCTGAGCTTGCAAGGTTAGAAGCTGCAAACCAAATGAGGCGGTGGCTGACAGGCACATGTTTTGGAGGGGAAGCGCGAACTACTGTCTTTTCTTTCCCAAGCATACTTGCATGCAGTTTGCTGATTGGACATTCCAGATTTGGGTGATTGGAAATACCAGATTAAAAATAAAAAGAAATTCCATGACGCATTCATCAGGCCATAACTATTTGGACCTTGTTAAAGTCTCCCAGGTCCCACTACTACCCCAACCTATACATGAACTACAAGAACCAACTGTTCGCTTACCATCCAAAATCTGTTAGCAGACCCTCTACATGCACTGTCGTTACAAGATAACCAACATTATTCACTTTCTCTATGCATGGCCATAATATCTGGCTCATGTTATGGTGCAGAAATGCATAAAATTTCAAGTCATTTTTCTATTCATAACAGCAGTTTAACCGACATAAATTCACCTCACATAATTAGATACATTTTATAATCTCGATTTTGACTATATTCACACCTTCCCTACCTAGGACATATTTATATGGCATTGCTGCAGCCATGCTGGGACCCAGGACAAACATACAGTCTGTTCATTCTCAAAACAACCGTTTGACCTAGAATCTGGTTGCGTGAATACAATCATACTACTTACAGTTTATTTCCTGGGTCGAAAAGGGGTTAATTAAATGCTAATGTTGGACCACGTGTCAAACTGGTGCCATGGAGGGCCAATAGGCTGCAGGTTTTCATTCCACTCAAAAACTCCACCAGGTGACTTCAATGATTACCTCACCTTCAAGCAGAGAGAAGGGACTAATCAGTGAAGTCACCTGCTGAAGTTCTTGGGTGGAATGAAAACCTGCAGCCTCTTGGTCCTCCATGGCACCAGTTTGACACCCCTGGACTGTCAGAGAAACTTTTTCCCCACGCCACTTACAGTCGTTAATGTGTTAAGTCTCCTTGAGTGAACTCACAGTGTAACATCATTCTGTATAAGTGCAACTGAGCTCCAAGTCTGATAAATGCATTGAGAGTGCTAAATACATTGAGAGTGCTGAAATATCTCATACTTCCTATGTCAGTTTCTGCTGCATGCACAATTTGTTTGAAGATATAAATTGATAATTCATTGGAATGAGAAAAAGTGTTTTTGCAGAAGTAGGCTATCCTTGGAAAAGTTCCTTCATGAACGCATGTACTGAATATACATGCAGGATGAGTTAAAGAGGTACTAATAATCTTGCCAAATAACCAAATGATAACAACTATGACACATGAGGCAACAAAGAATAAACAAACTTTGATTGAGTGAATTTCCTTACTGTGATCCAAGACAGCTATTTGGTTCTTCTTCTTGGGTGCCATATCAAAAGACATCGGCGACCAATTGCCTAGTGTAAAACAAGTGAAACAGTTCTTGGGTCGATTTTTGGGTCCACTGCTTGACTTGATCCATGAGCTTCAGTCGTTGTTTTCCTGGTGATCTTTTTCCAGGGATTTTTCCAGAAAGTGCAAGGTGTTCTAGTTTACCTTTCCGGATGACATGTCCAAGGAACTTTATTTGCCTTCCCTGAATTATTGCAAGCAGTTTTCGTTGGTATTCTGCTTGTTGAAGAATTTCGACATTGGACTTTCTCGCGGTCCAAGGAATTTTGAGCATTCTACGCAGGAACCACATCTTAACTGCTTCTAGTCGACTCAGGTCTGCCTTTCGCAATGTCCAAGACTCTGCGCCATACAACAGAATGGGCCAGATATAGCACTGAAGAACTCGTAAACGGGTGTTCATCGAGATTTTCATGTTGCAGAGAACACTCGTCATTGTAGTAAAGGCCTGTTTTGCCTGTGCTATCCTGGACTTGATTTCCTTTGTAGGTTTGGCATCTTCTGTAATGATTGAGCCGAGGTATCTGAACTGCTGTACTTGTTTGAGTTGTACTCCGTTCACTGTGATTTTGCAATCCTTGGGTTGTTGTCTAAAAAGGACCATGCATTCAGTTTTGTCTGTATTTATAGCCAAGCCATACTCTGTACTCTCTTTCACTAGACAATCCACTAGCCTCTGTAGGTTTTCTTCCGATGTCGCAATTAAAACAGTGTCATCAGCATATCTGATATTTGTAATGTTTACACCTCCGATTATCAGGCCTTCTAGGTCATCAAGAGGGCGGAGGGTTTGCTCGCTGTAGAGGTTGTAAAAGTCTGGTGACTGTACACATCCCTGTCGCACTCCTCGTTCGATTTTCACCCATTCACTGAGAGAGTTGTTCTGACGGATCGCGGCTGTTTGATTGAAGTATAAGGATTGAATTATTCTTAAGTCTTTCTCAAAAATGTCCAGGTCAGACAATAACATCATGAGTTTGTCGTGTTGTACACGATCGAAAAGCCTTGACATTGTCGACAAAACACAGGTAGAGATCTTGATTTACCTCTAGTGCCCTTTCCCCGAGCATCCTCAAAATAAAGATGGCGTTCCCTGTACCTCTATCAGGCATAAAACCATACTGGCAATCAGCAATTTCTGGGTGAATCTGACGTCTTGCGCGAAGAATTAGTATTCGAAGGAGTATCTTGACCTGGTGGCTCATTAGTGCGATGGTTCGGAATTTTTCGCATTCTGTAGCTCCAGATTTCTTGGGTATTGCGATGAAAATTGATCTTAGGAAATCTTCAGGAAGCTCCCCCGAGTCATAGATGTCGTTCATAAAACCGTACAGGAAGTCGACTGCATCATCCTCTAAGATCTATTTGGTTAAAACTCTGCAAAAGTATGATGTATCCACAGGATGTTTTGGCAGTTCTGGTAAATTGCATGCTGTATGCAGGGATGCAGTTCAGCATATCAGACTTGTATGGGCACCGAAACAATTGCTGTGTCTCTCTCATTCCGTGTAATTTTCATACCAGTTCTCCCCTATGTGATGCCCAGTGCAACTTGCTTCCAAAACATTTGGTAATGACAGATTCGATTAAAAATTGGCATATAAGGCTTTTGACTGGAAAGGGGAGGGCATTTGGATCGACAGATGTCCATGACCTTTAGTGAAACATATCTCTGGCGTTTTGTGGAATTGTGAACACTGATATTTACTGAGGCAAGTGAGGCCTGCAGTACTTAAATTGCTATTATGGGTTTTTTGTGAATTCTCGGATAATTCATTGATGCACTTTTGGTGGGCTGGCCACTCCTGAAAAGGTTCACCATTCTTCCATGCTTTATCTATTTGTAGGAAATGGCTTTTAGTGTGGTTTGCTGTTAGAAATGGCTTTGTGACTCTTCCCAGACTGACGGATGTCAAAGACTTTGTTTCTCATCTGCTCTTGAATTTTGTCAGATTGCGACATCTTATGATGACTTTGATCTCATTCACATTGCCAGACATGTTCTATTTAAGTGAGGTTTAGATTTAACTGGGCTGGAAGTAATCATCACGTGGTGTATCAAGTGACATTGAACACAATTATCAATGAAACTGTTTAATTGGTTGATTTGATAACTAAGGGGACAGCAACTTTTTCACTTGGGATCAGGTAGGGTTGAAAAGTATTTTTCCTTTAATAAATAAAACCAGAATTTAAAAAATGCAATGGAGTGTTTACTCGCGTTATGTTTGTCTAATATTAAAATTTGTTTGATGATCTGAAACATTTAAGTGTGACGAAAATGCAAAAATAGAAGACATAAAAAAGGGGGCAGATACTTTTTTGCAGAAAACATTAACTCTTCTGTGGTGAGCTATTTATTTCTTCTGTTACAAAACCATTTGCACCTCGGTGGTGCAGTGGGTAGCACTGCTGCCTCGCAAGAAGGTTGTGGGTTAGAATCTGGCTCGGGGCTTTTCTGTGTGGAGTTTGCATGCTCTCCCCGTCTTTATGTGGGTTTCCTCCGGGTACTCCGGTTTCCCCCCACATTCCAAAGACATGTATTTCAGGCTAATCGGAGACTCTAAATTGCCCATAGGTGTGAATGGTAAGTGAATGTTCTCTGTGGAAAAGATTAAAGCCTCACCACATATTTTTTCTTCAATAGCAAGCACAGCCGCCAACCTCAGGCCTGGTACAACACTCTGACTGACTGACTCACAAAACTATTTGTTCTCACTTGTCACGTTCCTCATCCCATTACAGAAAGGTTGTATCGTGATAACACATTTACCATGGCTACAGCTTAGTTCTTTTTTTTTTCTAGCATTCATAAGTCACTTTCACATTCACCATTAACCAAATAAGTATTTATGTAAGTAAATTTGGCTATGGAAAGAGGTGGTAACATGTCTTAAGAGGACTTCTATAGATTATGAATATGAAATATCTGTTGCCGAGGAGCATGAGTCAGTTGTGTCGCTCTCAAAAGAAGAAAGTGAATGCTCATACTTTTCTTTTGGAATTCTGTTTTCTTCTCGCAAAATATAGAGTCTAGCAGGGAGAGACAGATAAAGGGAGACAAAGTGAGAGGAAAATACTCCCATTAAAATTCATGGAAAATATACAAAATCCTTTATTGGAGACCCAAATAAAATCACGTGTATGGGTCCTATTTCTAATGCATTGTAGCTGGGTGCTCAGCCAACCTTACAGAGACTGGCAAAATGTAAGTTGAAGGTCAGTAAATGTTTCTCTCCACGGTGTTTATACACATTGTCCATGTATAGTGTGCTGCCAAATTCAAACTTCAGAGCAGCATGCTGACCTATGAGGCATGTCCTAAAAAAATGGGTCTGTATGTTCTGTCACGGTCCACAGGATGATCTGCAAGCAGTAACAGCAGCACTGACACAGTAATTTTCTTTAAAATTATCTTTCCGGCCAACTCACGTTTTCAGAATGTTGCTTTCATGTAATGGCGGTCATTTTCAAGGATATTTTGTGTAAGTTGGGTTCAGTGCGGATCTACAATATCCCCAGTCTTTGCTCTGGAGGGGCGAATAAGAAAGTTAACATCAGTGATAAGAACAACAGAAAATTATGGATCATCATGTATTTTTCCCTGTTTGTCTCCAAACACTTGGCAAATAACTCAGTAGGGGACTCTACCCCTCCTGACATGAGAAACAGTATGGTAAATAAAGATCTGAAGCTTTTATATCAAAGCCTTTTCTTTGTTGTTGTCTGCATACCCGTGGGATGACTCCAGAGCTCTGAAAAATAAAAACGGAAATCATATTCATATTGCTGCATGAGACAAAACACATTGTTCCCTGTGTGGGTTTACATGTTTACAGTGATAATCGTATAGGCTCCTCTTTTGGTTACCGGCAACCAGAAGATGGAATTCCCTGGATATCCATATCCTCTTCATCACTGGGATAATCCTCACAGCTTGCTCATTTCAGGATTTTTTTTTCCTGCCAGAGACTAATATGACAGCTCAATGTTTAAAATGTCTCATCCAAGGGCTGGCCAATATGAGGCAATGTCCCCTTCTTACTGTCTGACAGCCTGACATAGCATTGTACAAACATGAGTGGTGTCATACCTGCTTGCACCGCAACCTCCAAGTACAAATACCTCTGTGCTGCCAAGCCGGTAGAGTCAGACCTAGGCCATGTCCATTGTCCTCTATGGAAAGATGAAGATTGTAATACTTAGCATCACTATAACCCAGTGGTGCTCAACCCTGGTCCTGGAAAGTCGCAGTGTCTGCTGGTTTTTGATGTTACTCAGCACTTAATTGATGAATTAAAGCAGTTGATTACACGCTTAACTCATCTCACCTGGTGTCTTAGGTTTAAATAGGGTGGAGAAAACCAAACTCAGCACAACCTGTGGCTCTCCAGCACCAGGGCTTGCTACCCCTGCCCTATAAACTTTTCTCTTTACTTTGTACTTCTACTTTGTCTGCATTACAACTATGCTAAATGTCCGACCACATTGACAAATCTTGGTTTCCATGTAGACTGCTGTCACAACGGGCATGTCTGCTTAATTGGCTCTAGGAGTCTTGTGGGTGGTTCCTGGTAATTGATTGATTGGCTTATTATTCCCTTATTGCAGGAGTATAGCTAACCTTGGTCCTAGAGAGCCACAGGGTGTGCTGAGTTTGGTTTTCTCCACCCTATTTAAACCTAGGACAGTAACAGTTGACCAGTGACAGTGTAGACAACGCACCCCCTCTCTGCAGCTGTGACTGTAACGTGCCAGTGGCTCTTTCTCTCTTCTGTGTCGAAAGCCGTGCCGTTTTCTTGAAGCTGTAGCATTTTACATTTATTTTTTGTTGGCTCTATATAGGCTATTGACCGCACCCAAAAGAACAAGTCAAGCATCACTGTACACATCATAAACAACTCAATTTTCATTATCACGGTAGCGCTCAGCATGTCCATGTGGTGCTTGTCAGGATTACGATACCACACTGTTTTCTTGATCTCATTCATATCTCACTGGAAAAACAATAGACACCAATTAGATTCTTCAATTTGCTGCAGATACAGTACATACCTCACCCATGCGTTTTTAATGGTGCTAAGTAAATATAGAATTCTGTTTGGAGCTCCACGCAAAGAAATAGTTATACATAGAATTGACTTTTCAGCACACGGACTAGCTGCTGAAATGCGCTTGTTTCACCTACATGGAAAGCTGGCGTTAGCTGTGGAGATTTAAAATTAAATTTAACTGGCTTGCTGATTAAATACAATTAGGTAACATTATACAACCTCAAATCAGACAATGTAAGAAATGTAAATAAAAACATTAATTTGCAAATCCATTTTAGTTTCTATACAATTGAAGATAGTAGAGACAAAGTGGATAATGTTTTAATACATCAACCTTATTGTATTTTGAAAATAACAGCTACTTTGAAACCTGAGATCACACATTTATACGAAGCTGAGGCCGGTTATGTGCACCACTATAACATCACCTCTCCTTCCAAGAATATTCAGTGGTAGTTTTGCCACTGGGGATATGAATTGTCAGAGTTTTCAAATCAGAATTTCTTCTCATTCTTGCCTGATATAGGGCTTCATTTGATCAACAATCTTGGGTTTCCATTGTCAAATTTTCACTTCCTTATTTGCCTCATGTTTTCAGTGGGAGAGAGGTTCGAGCTGCAGGTGGTATCTGCACTCATAAAGCCACGCTACTGTAATACGAGCAGGGTGTGGCTTAGCGTTATCCTGTGAAACACGCTGGGATATCCCTGAAAAAGATGACATCTGGAAGGCACATATATTGTTCCAAAATTCCACTCCCATAACCAAATGCTCCGCTCCACTATACTGACAGCACTATAAATACTTGTAAACATGTAAAATGATGCAGTATTTGCATCCGTCCTGCCCTGAGTCTGTGCAGAGTTCTATGTTATAAGCTCTTAGAGCCCCAGCCTACCGCTAGTGCTGGCAGACATGACAGGCCTCTTGCTTTTAGTGTATGTTGGCATCATAAAGAGTTAATTAGAATTGTGGAATCATTCCAAATTTTGGTCGCAGTACGGCGGCACGCCAGAATAGTAGGCGTAAATCCTTGAGCATATAAAGCCTTTCATCCTGGTGCTTTACATCCCTAATTTTACTGTATGTACACACTTTCAGTTACCTCTTATCTAACCTCCTTGGGTCAGGCAAATTTGGGGCTGTAAAATCTTGATTGTTCAGGAAGATACCATCTCTATTTCCTGGCAAAATTTGGTATTTCATGTTTAGTTTACACAGCTGTCATTCCATTGTAACCAGTTCTTTTGGTTTTAGCAGAAAGGGGGCTTGGCTAAAGAGCTTGGGAGAGATTACTTTTCTCCTCCCTGTGTGAATACTTCGCCACATCTAAGAGATGCCCATGGTTACCTAGTTGTAATGATAATTTGACCTGGCTATTATCAAGTAGCGATTCTTCGGAGAGAACTATCCATGACAGTATGCTCATGCCCAAAATATGCTGTGATTTTGAGGAGAGTGCACAGAAAACAGGTATATTGCGACTGAATAGGAGGTCTTCGTCTAAGAATGAAATCAGTGAATGAATGGTGGGAGTGGCTGAAACACAGGACCATTAGTGATTGTTGTGGGAAGGGTAACCTAAACCTGCAGCTACTGGCAAACAGCTATACATGCGAGAGGGCAAATCTACATATAATCGTGAGATTGGTTACTGGACTGGATCATAAATAATGATTTTTTTTTTTTTTTGGAATAACATACCGAAACACATAATAAAAAACCAGACAGGGTTCACACTGCAATCAATCTTGTTTTTATTATTATTATTATTATTATTTTATTATTATTATTTTGCAAGTGTGCATTTTTTAATGATTATGGTGACATGACTTTTCTTTTCATAATTCATTATTATTATTTTGCATGCCCTCTTGCCCTACTCTGAGGCTGCATTGCCGCATGTACAGACATGAACCTTTATCCACGAACATTTTCATGCAATTTAACATTTCAATCCAGGTAACTGAGTGATATACTAAGTATCCCCAGAACTATTTTCCATAAGCATAAATTCCACTCCACTGACTTGTAAATGACAACATAATGCTGAATATGAGAGAACAGGATTGTTCTGCACAGAATTGCTTTGGACATTCCACTGATACTGATGGTGAGAAAAAGGAAGATATACTATGCACTATGTGATCAACAGAAAATTTAACAGTATGCTAAAAATATCCACAGGACACACTACACTGGAGAAATTTCACAGTACGCAGCATAAGCAGTCTTAATGGTGTATTTTAACCAACAATGCAACATGGGCAATGGTAGCACCCCACGTTGACCCCGGTGATATGACATCCTGGTTGTCAGAATATTGTGTAGTTTATGATTTAGTTATTGTCAAACACTGGCAACTACTCTGAATGCTACCATGAAGTGTAGTATGTAATAT